CTAACCGTTAGTTTAATTGTTGGAACAAAGAAAATAAGACATTTAAACTTAATAAAAAATTAGAGGAAAAGCCCCAAAAAAGATAACACCTCACTTTTTTATTGCTCTCTTATTTATATATATATATATATAGAGAGAGAGAGAAGATTTCAATTGAATAATATACCAATCTCTGTTCTTGTTTTCAGTTTATTTATTTTAGTCTTTATTTTATAACAATATTTTGTCTTTTAACATTATTGCAGAGCATAGGGATAATGCTATATTTGTTTCTAAATACTCTTTATTTAGCTTGAAGCAACTAAAAATCGTCAATACTAATTGAAATTCTTATAAATAGAGCTTATGGACACATTAGCCATCGTAAAATGAAACTATCAATTTTATATGCATCTATGCAGCAAAAGGAATAGAAGTTTCAAGTCAAACTCACACATGCAATATTCGAAAACCATCCAACAAAAACAAACTACTCCATAAAAATCCTTAACTTCGTACCTTTTAAATTTATACTCCAGCTAAAAAGTAAACTCAAAATGTGGGCAGGGAAAATCCAGGAATGTAGCCTGTAATTTTCCACCCACTTCATCCCTTTCATGTCTTGGACCTCCAAAGTAGAACAAAAGAGCAGACTAAACCAAGAAGTAAACAAAATACTTTCTAACATGAATTCATAAAAGGAAAGTCTCTTCACTGAGATACTCCAAGCCACTTTGAGAAGTTGTCGAACTCTGCATAGTCCGAATCTGAGATCATTGTCTTGTACCATGAATGGCTTGCAGACCTGATAGAGGATGCCTCCTCCTGCAATGGAAAAATGGAATTTTGAAAAACAGTGCAAGACACATGCATGACGCAGCTCACAAATTTTATGAACAGCTTAACAAATGTTCTGTTGAGACGAAATAAAATGGACTATATTCAAATGAATTTGTCAATTAAAGTAAGGGGCACCTCCTCTCTTATATTAAACTAACAAGATAAAGACTTTTCCAATGAAATAGGAGACTTTCATCTATGATCGCAAAATAAACAAGTAGATAGTCTTAAAGCCATGTCCTTGATCTTATCACTCTGCTTATTTTACGGAAATGTAAATAAGATATCAGGAACTTTTAAAATGGAATACAGGACCCTTTCATCTACAACTTCAAAATAAAATGGTAGACATATAGTCTTAAACCCACGTCCTTCCTACCAAAATATCCCTTTCTTATCACAAACAGCAAACAACCATCTACACACTGAACCAAGCTCAAAAAGAAATATTACAAAGATCTAGTTCCCTAACACTTCAGACCTCAAACTTTTCCTACACTTACCAGTTGATCTTTAGCCAAAAGAGTACACTTATCACTTCTACAGCAGTGAGTAAACATCTGCTTTATTTTCAACAGCAGTGCTAAAAGTAGTTGCTTCAGAGTAAACTCAACAAGACCAAGAATATAAACATCAATCGAACAATCAAATCTGTAATAAGGTATAGCGGGTGCAATATTAAAGGTTTATTTGCTACAACTGTGCATTGGTAACAAAAGGTATGCACCAAAAAGACTCGTGCAGTACTAGTAGATTCAGAAAATGTAATCACAAGTAGTAAACAGCAAAACAGCAGAATTAGAGTTATACCAAAGCAGAAACCAAGTTCACCTAATTTTTCATATTATTTAGGGAACTCATCTAGAATTTACTTCAATCAAGATTCAATGAGCAAATATCTGTCATCAAAATCTTTAATCATCAATTCATCATACACCACTAAACTATTACTCCATCAATTCACCAAATTATTCAACCGCCATTTTGTTTAACATGACTCTATGAGCAAATATTTGAATTGACTTTCTTTTACCATTACTGAAACTATACTTAACCTTCAAAAAGAAACTACACTAAACTTGGTACCATGATTCTTCTATGAGCAAATATTCCCAAAAAAATCGTCAATCACCACTGAAATATAAGCATTTGCAAGATATAAGACTACCCCAAAATTCAAAAGATTATACCTTTGTAATTTGATGCCTCTTCTTCTCGAGCTTCTCCTTCTTGGCCTTAACCCGTTGGACCTCAGCCAAAAGTGACATCCTCCTGGCAGTCTTAGCATAAGGATTGAGTTTCAGTAACACATTCAGGTTCTTCAGTGGGTTCTTCTTCAAGGTAGCCCTCTTATTAGCATCCTTCTTAATGGGTCTCACAACAGACTGGACCTCATCCGAGTTAATAATCCTAGCCAAATCAGCATTCACCATTTTGGGCCTTGGCAATAAATACCCCTTCTTTTTCTCTGAAGGCTTATCGAACGATCCATAAATCGAATCTAATTTCTCATAAGCCGATTTAGTCCAGATAACAAACCTTCCTAAGTGACCACCTGGAGCGAGCTTGAGTAAGTTCAACCGATCCACATGGCAAATTTCGATACCGGGAATGTTCCTAAACGCCTTCACGAGCTTAGCACCTTCGGTTCCGTACACAATAAGCGGGCCCTTGCGGGAAATGTAGCGACGGTTACGCATTTTTCCCTTTCCTGGACGAATAGCGTGACTGTCCTTAGCCTTTTCAGCATCTGGATAAGCGCCGACTTGCTTCAACGCCTTGATAGCGTTGTTAGTCTTTTCAATCCCTTCGATCGAATCAGAAACAACGAGAGGAAGCTCGGGGACGGTCTCGATACGATGACCACGTGCAAGGACAAGGGATGGAACTGAAGAAGCGGCGATAGCTGAAGCAACGGCATATCGTTTTTGGTTCACGGGGATCTTACGGTGCCATCGGCGCCAGATCTTCGTCGGAGCAAACATTCGACCACCACGACACATGTTACCGAAAGCAGCTTGACCGGCGCGGTGGGTACCACCACCGGGAACACGGGGAATACGTGACACAGCACGTCCGGTACCCCATGACTCGGCTGAGGTCTGGTGGCCGGCTTTTTTTGATACGGCATAAGGTTGACGGGCGTTTTTGGAAATGTTCGAGTGGACATAGGTGACAACGTCGGGACGGATCGGTGCTTTCATGACGGCGGGGAGAGGGACGGC